CAGTTCTCATGATCACTCTTTTTTATGAAGCACTGATATTACAAGGAGATGCTATCACTCTTAGGGCTTAAATAGGGTGAACAGTTCTAATGACAAAAGAATCCTAAGTAAACATAACTTTTATTGATAGGTGAGGAAAAGATGAACATCACAGGACTCGTGAAGTACGAGTTATTGTCTGTGATCATGCAGTCAGTTCTCATGATCACTCTTTTTTATGAAGCACTGATATTACAAGGAGATGCTATCACTCTTAGGGCTTAAATAGGGTGAACAGTTCTAATGACAAAAGAATCCTAAGTAAACATAACTTTTATTGATAGGTGAGGAAAAGATGAACATCACAGGACTCGTGAAGTACGTTGGAAAGCTTGGCGGTGGCAGAAACAATGGCAGCATGTTTGTCGGCCTCAAACTTGATCAGCCAGGTATTGATTCACATCACAATTTTGTACTTAGACCACGCTGTCTAAAACAAGTCACACGTTTCATCGCGCGTGGCGCAGGCTGTTTCCAAATACCTCGCGTTTTGACTGGTTCTCTTAACTGTCTTTGTCTGCTCTAATTGTTCAAAGCAATTGTATGATTGTATTTTGATTTTCGTATTTAAACGCTCATTTGAAAAAATCTTGGTGGGTGTGGTGTAGAACAAAAACACTGCAGACCTTGCATATGCAGCATCGCCATGTCATATAGAAAGTATTGTGCCATATACTTTTCGATTTGTTTTTTAACGTAACCGTTCTTAAACATTTGCGTTATCGTTATCGGTAATATTATAGCTTAATCTTTTTGTTTTCTTTTGCCACGTTCACACTACACCGGATTAATTTATGTGCCGGTACGCAGTAGATCCGGCATGATATCAACAGGCACGACATGAACGCTTTAAAACCGGTAGGGTACCAAGTTTACCACTCTTATGAGCGTCACTTCGCCTGGACACTTACGCATAAAATCATGCCGAAATAGCATTCCATCGGTGAACTAAAGGTCCCACCCCGTTTGGTTTTCCATGTGTATGGCACGAAAGCTGTGCGGTATGGTGAGCATAGTCAAAATATACACGAAATTACGTTGCATTCTGTTTCTCTTGTCACAAACAAGTTAGCCTGCGTAGCAGACGCTTGGAAGTAGGGAGCTTTAGCAACGACGACGGCGACGGCAAAAAGGACGTCAAAAAAGCAATAGGTTTATTACGCAAAACAACAACTTTGCACGTGCAGCACGTTTTTTTTGTACATTTCTTTGCTGTCCTTGCACGACTACGACATGAAAATGCCTAATTCCAAGTTTTATGGAGGACGTAAACAAGCGACGACGAATCTCTTATTCTCTCTCTAAACTTGAGTGCGGTCCTCAAGAAATCAACTCTAAGGAAATTCGCCTACACTTGCCATTTTCAGCAAATTGGAATAAACGCGACAAAGATTGAAAAAACGGGAATTCATTTTAAAACTGACGTTTTCGATGCAGTTGCCGTCGTAGATGCTAAAGCTCACTAGTAGTGGGCGAAAGAGAGAACGGGCGCGCGCGAGGGAGACACGCGTGTCTCCTTCTCGCGCGCCCGTTTTTTCTTGTGCCCACTACTTCCAGGGGCCTGCTTCGCGGGCCACAAACAAGTGGAATCTTATTTATTTATCTCAAGCTGATTAATGGCTTTGTTTGTTTGTTTAGTTGGTAACACTGATGGGCGTCTAGGTGGCAAACAGTATTTCCAGTGTCCTCCCAAGCATGGAAAACTTGTAAAAATGTCTGACATACATGCTGTTATGAATCCTAGGGTAAGTAACCTAACAATGTAACAACAAGAGAGTAACAACAATGGGACAGAGAGGGATTCTTAAGGCGTTGGCCGTGATATGTGGATTTCACTTCAGTTATTTTTAGAGGTTGTAATAAACAGAAGTCTAATTTCTGAGACGTCCGCACATTTTAATCAAGTCCTCAAAGCAAAAAATTGAAAATATTTGTAATGGCAACTGTTGAATTATCTCTTGACAATACGGAATAAAAGTTGATGGACCCCTCCGGAAACCAAATTCCGATTAATTCAAGTCTTACTTGGTCTAACAATAACTTTGGTGAAATTCACATATCCCAAGGGCTAGACTGGGTGTTTCCTCCTCTGTCTCATTATTCATAAGTGGAAGCGAGGGTTGTAAGACGGCATTATCAACAAAAATACTTGATTGCCATGGAAACATGAATGGAAGAAGAAAAGAAGGCCTCGCCATAAATACAAGGAGAGCTCAAATGTTGTAAGAGCTAATTAACATGAGCAATTTGTGCAATTTTCAGCTCTTTACAAGCAATATCAGGGGAAATACCCACCATCAAAAACTGTAATTGATACGTGGCAAAAACTTTAATGAGCCGTATGTTCTTTGTAACATTCTAGTTGATTGAAAGAGAACTTCGCCGCAACTATTCGGTATTTAGGGCTCACATTTCGGCGATTACTACTTATTGCTATATGTATGCCCTTTCAATGTCACTAAAGATGTTATCTCGATTTCATAGCTTGATCATAGACTGGTGAGCATACACGTTAGCGGGGCAAAAAATCTAAACAAAGATTGGTCTATATAGACGGCGTACTTAAACTTCCTTCGCGAATCGTTCATGGTGCCCTTAGCTAACAAGTCTGCATGTACCTTTTTTTCCAGACTCGAAATTTCAGTCGAATCAGACCCATGACATTCGACTAGCTGAACGACCGAGCGATGTGTGTGCTCTGAACGCCAGTTAACTCAGATAACCAACTACATCTCCATGATCATAATATTATTTGAATGCTTAGATGCTAAGTAGAACGATAAAGATAATGGAAAGTTAGACAACAATCCCTAGGTGACCACAAAAAAATGGGTTCGCGATGGTCCCCTGAACAATAAATGATTTACATATAGTTATATTATTTTTCATACGCAGATCTATATCCAGTCGCGTTATTGTGAAACACAAAGTAATAATGATTCACATAAAACTGTGTTTTGTTGTAAAAAAGAAACTTTAATTAACATTTACTCGTCACAGAGAACGTCCGCATTTGTTAAAAAACTTGTGTATGCATTGTATTATTATATTTTGTCTTTGTGGTTACACCTTCAAGACCTGTTACAAGTTCAACGTTTTACACTGTATGCAAGTACATGATGATCGTGTTAATGGATAGAAATGAAATGTATTTTTGTATTCCTAAGCTAATAGTTAGTATTTAAATTTTGTATACGACGGTACATAATACTTTTGTACCTTTTTTAATTGTCTATTTGTGCAGGCCTTAACCAGGTTGAAATAAATTTATTATAACACATCCTGTTTTGCACATTACTTATTTTCTTGCTCCTTTTCTTTTGTTTTTCTTTCTTTTTTTCCTCACATGTGCATGATTTCTTCAGAATTCGGAATTTCAAGCTTTTTGAAAGTGTTTGTTAAGATGCCACTAGCCTGTGTAGAAAGCGTTTCCGATCGATCGAGTTATTGCGCGAAAGTTAAAGCGAGAGCAAAGACAACAAGGTAAGTGGGGGAGGGAGAAGATATCCTGCGAGCAAATCTCCATCTGGGGGATATCACGATTCTAGAATAAAACGCCCCTTAACATTGTATGGTTCGGTTTGTTTGTAGGTTAACATCTTGTCAAAAAGCGGCCAATAATGTCAGTAGACCCGCACCGTTTTAAACCTTATTTTACAAATCCCCTTTAATCTGCAATTCCATTGTTTTCCCAGCTAATCACAAACACTCTTTCAAATAGGTGCGGGATCGCCCAATAATGTGAGTAAAAGGTAACAGATTTTTTTATGGAAAGCTACAACAAAGTAGCTTAGGGTGGATTTCCGCTGTCGCTTAATTTTTGCGCGGAAACTCTTGCGACCCACAGGCTAAGATGCTTTAAATACTATGACAGTCTGGGAAGGTAAAAGACTATTAAATACCATTCTAGTCCCTAAAATGAAGAGGGGACGTTTGTCAATCCAAAGGGCATACTGATGGACGTCATAAGACTAGACGAGTTACAGTCTAGCTTATCTCCTCCAGTACCTTTCGCTGAGCATGCGATTCATGCAATGCACAACAAAACACAAACGCTTAACACCAATTGAATAGCCTGCGGAGCCCGCGGGATCTTCCGCGCGAGGAAAGTGTTGGCAGAGAAACTGCCAAGTCGTACAGAGAATGGGGAGGAGACGAATTTTCTCGCCCCATCGGCGCTCGCTTCTCGCTGCTTAAAGCCGCACGTATGGCGGCTTCGCCAACTTTCAACTTTATTCATTCAATCTCAATTTACAATTTCACGATAGCTTCTACCACAACTCTCGCGCAAAAACAATTCTGCCAGCTACCCATTTTACAGTTGCAGGTGAAAACGAGGCAGGAGTTGACCTTGTTTTGATACAGCCCTTCCTGCTTTATTATGTAAATCATGTCTTTCTTATGCTAACTAGTATTTTTTAAGCAAAATTTATATTATAAAAGGAATGAGGTTTGTATCAAAACAAGGTCAACCTCAGCCTCACGTTCTCTCAAAGGCTAGGGCACCAAGCCCATAACTGTAAAATGGCCTATTGAGTCACAATCCCTACTCTCTCAGCATTAAGGTTACAAAGATAAACGCGTGTCTGAAGCTTACATCTGGACTTTTGCATTTTTGTACCAAGAAATGAACTTTCTAGAACTAGAGCAGTCCTTCATAAGGTTTTATTTCATTTCTTTTCTTAGAATGAATGTTAAGATTGGTTTGAATTTGCTAGTGTTCTGCGAGTATATTTGAAAGTAAAATAAAGTGGAATAATAATCGTCAAAGGACAAAATTATAAAAGGCAGATTGTGACAGTAAACAAACAGGCATCGGTAACTAGCACCTTAGTATAGACTGAGTGAATGTGACAAAATCATGCAACACAAAAATTTTATTGAACCTTTCTACAGCACATATCTTATTAGGGCAAACGTTCAGATTTTCAGTCTATAAGTTTTGCTTCTCTTCTTGGTACTGGTAATGCAGCTTAGCGACATCCGTTTGAGAAACTTTTATCCAGCCATCTTGCCTCATGTGATACACTGTAATAAAAAACAGTAAAACGCTTGAGCAACATGTTATCTTTGTCTTGCTTATGAAAAAAAGTCTAAGCCCTTCATGGGATTCAAATCCATGAGGGAGGAACTCATTGTCACCAAGGCGGGCTTAGGCCATTTACTAGAAGAAAAAAAGACAGTGGAACCCCAATATAACTGTAGGTGCCAAGGGATCCTGTTCCATACATTTTACTTTAACTGGGGCTTGGCCCCTATCTGCAAAGAGTCAGAAAATTGTATTCAGTGTAACCGTTGGAGAGAAGCTATCCCTTGCAGAAGTGGGATGTACAACATCCTTTTCGAGGCTCAAGCAAAGGAAAAAAAATTGCCTAAAATGTGTGATAAAATGAGTGCTTCAAACAGGTCATACTATGAGCAACCTGCCAGTTGATATTGCCTGTTTGCAGGGTTATCAAAAGTAGCTGGCTGCTGGCGAAAATCACTACCTACTTGGTTAGTATCAACTGGCTACTCTGCTTGGCATTTCTTTACAAATGGCATTTTTTAAATACAATATCCCTGGACCGGCCACTTACTTTGACAACTCTGCCATTTACTTCAAAACTTTCTGACAACGGTGCTACTTGCTCAAAACATTTTAAGAATTTGTTCCTGTAACATGAGTGTTGGGAGGAGTAGAGCAACTCATTTTAAATCTGAGCCTTGCCTCTACTTCTTAGTACCTCTTCACGCCATACTTACAGTTGACAACTCCTCCACTGTAGGCATCCCTGTGAGTGGCATGGTAGATGGCTCTCTTACCCAATTCATAAGCTTCTTCAACAGACAACTCATACTTGTAGCCACTGTCCATCACACCATAAGCATAGGTTGAACCAGACCCAACAGAAAACATATCATTTGACAAGCGTGTGCCATCACTGTCCACATAGTACAGCCCTGGACCCTTAAAGATCCAAACATTAGTGTAAAACATGTGGTTCAATTTTATCCCTGGTTCAAATTTTGTGACCCAAATTTAACAGAAAAGAACAATATTAGAACCAAGAGTCAAGGGAAGCAAACCATGTAACTTCAAGATGAATTCACAAACAGCTACTCACTCTTTTATCCCAGCCACATATCATAGTTCCCTGAAAAAAAAATGAAGCCATGTTAATTAAATTGCTTTAAGTCAGAAACAGAAACACTAATGTAACGGAAGAAACTAAGCTAATAAGTATAGCCTCTGAGAGCAGCAATTCCCTAATTAGCTGATGGAACCAAGTCTGTTAGGTACTTCATTTAAAAAACTTAGTATGAAGTTGCCTAACATTATAAAAACTGAATCTAACATTTGTGGAGAGGTGTCAACCGATTGCAAAAAGTGAGATAAAATTTGTAAACCAGGGGAGTGCTCTTACCATAGACAGCCCCATGCCTTTGTAGTTGTACACCATGTTTGCAAGGAGTTTTGAAGCAGCTGCCACTGATATTCTCTCCTTGTTTCGCAGCTCATAAATTCTAAAACAAACAAACAAAGTACGGTATTGTAATCAAGAACAAGTTCCAATCTCTTCAAGCACACCTTTTCAAGGGAAAAAAAATTAGTCAACTTAGTCCATAAAGACAAAAAGGAAGCTATTGGATTCATATTGTGTGGTCCAGTCCATCACATCTGAGTCCAAAGGTTACTCCTTAGCAAAGCTTCCACGATTCTTCAACTGTAACCTTGGTTCAAATTATATTTCCCTTTCTTTCAAACTATGTAACTATGGAAGCTATGTGCATTAATTTCATTTTTTTCCAAGGACTTCACAAATTAACATTTGAAATTTTCATATTTTCTCACATGACCTTTCATGAGAGCAAAAGCAATAAATCTGTTCAGTAGCCTAGGACATGCCTGTAAATTTGCTCACATTTACAATAACAGTGTAATTATTTCAATGTTGTGAGTATAATTTCCAATTCCTGAAAGAAAGTTGAAACCTAAACTAACCTGCACTGTTTGGCCAGCAGTCTTTCCCAGAAGGAACAGTCAGCAGCTCCACCAGCCATAGTTCCAAGTAGATATGGATTGATTTCAATTACCTTCTTCACTGTCTGTGATGCTGCATAAAAGAAAAGTTAATATGTGTGAATACTCTACCTTCTACTGCTTACTTAGAAAGAATTGAAATGTTCTTTGACAAGGGTTGTAAAAAAGTTTTAAAGAAGGTGGTTTTGTTGTTGTTGAAGTAGGTAGGCAGATGGTTTTCCAATCTTTCGCCAAAGAATTGGAGAATCAGCACTGCAGTGTAACTGACCAAAATCAGGAAGTAGGCGGTCATTTTGTGCTGGCTGCCTTCTATTTTAAACAATACTGTTGACTTCAAACTGTGGACAAAATGCTATGGTAGGACCATGCTCATGAAACCTTTGGTATTTCTTTTAGTTTACGTGTAGCACTAATTTTTTTTACCATTCTACAAAATCAAATAAATTATTGTAATGTAATTCCAAAATATTTCATTTCCCTGTAAAAAGCCACGTTGAATTGACTCAACTATAAGGCAGCTGTGACCTTAAACATCTGGTTGTTTGGTTAGAATTAGCTTATATATTTTAAGCAAAAGGAACATTACCAATATTATTACTGTGTTTATTATAGTTTTACATTGTACTCACTATCTGTGCCCTCATTGGCTTTGTGCCTACAAAACAGTTAAACCCATCAACAATAGATGGGTGTGGGGAAGGTGCCTGAAGAAATGGAAGGGGGCCGCAAGTGATCTTAGAAGGTAACCATGACAACCCTGAGATCGGCACCCACCAGGTACCCGTCACAAAGAGAACCTCAGTGAAAAGAGGCGCAGATACTTACCAAAACAGCATCCAGACAGGAGAGAGGGTTGGGGGCAAAAAACAACTATAACTACTGCACGCAAAAGCAACACGAGTGTAAAATCACTAAGGCCCTGCTAAACCCCGAGGCTGCCCCACATACGATTAATGAAGGAAACCGCTGGCCAGCGTTGTCTCGCGTTTAACCTCGCCTAAATTACATTTAGCCAGATTTAATTTTGGAAATCAGCACAACCTATAGATAAGTTAGTACTCTGCACGCAGATAACTGACTAATCTGTAGAAAAATAGACCTACCAATATAGGATCCTGCTGTTGCTCTTGAATCAACTGCCACAATCACACCATGTTGAAATTTGAAAGCCAGAGTAGTTGTCCCATGGTCGAAATGGATTTTGACATCACCTTCACCATTAGCAAAAGGTCTTAAAAACTCTACAGGCTGAAAGATAATGTTGAAATGAGTCTAACGTTGGTTATAAAGTAGTGATACAAAGTGCAAAGATAGTCATGTCCGATAGCCTGGGATAGTGGGTTTTGCTATTGGGTAGCGAATTCTGTTCTTAACTTTCTAGTGACGGGTACCCAAAAAAAAAACAGTTTAGTGAGAGAAAACAAGCTTGACTGGACCACAAGTTTGGGCTGAGGCGACCTCAAAGGTTTTATGTCATTCACACAGAGCCTCCTTCTCTCTTCTTCACCCAAGATGACAATAGGAGGCTCTATTGTAAAAAGGTATGTGGTTGTATGGAAGTTTTACCCCTTTTCTTAAAAATGTTTAATAACACAACAAATACCAATACTTTGACGCAGGGAATGACATGTCAATAGTTTTGAAAGACAAAAGTCAATTGTGGTCAAGTGAATTCAATAAAGATCAATTGAAAACATTGGAAATACTGTAAATCCACTATTAATCCCCCTGGGGGCTTATTTATTTCAAGTCCATTTGAGGCAGGGGGCTTCATAGAGACGAAGGCCTTATATGAGACGGAAGGAGGCTTATTCAATTTAAAAACTACAATGGTATCGTTTCTCTACAAAGAACAAGAATACAAAGTGGAAAAGCTCAAGTATAAGAAGTTTTAAGTCATACAGCCGAGGATCAGAATTAAATCGAAACTTCCAGTTGGTAAATAAACCATCCTGGATCAGTCCACACAAAGTTTTAGAGTTGCGATTGATTAATACAGTCTATCATTATTTTATTAGTGAAGAATAATAAGGTGGGAAGGGGGGTCGTAATAGATAGGAGGGCTTATTAACTTTCTTCCCCTGAAAAGAGGGGGCTTATTAGAAGGAGGGGGAATATTTGAGAGGGGGGCATAATAGAGGATTTACGGTAGATAGAAATCAATAATTTCTTGTCATTATTGATATTGACTGATTCTGAAAAGACAAAACAGCTCATGGAACACAAGTTCGATTGGACTCAATTTTCGTCAATGATTTTGATAATCAGTTGAGAATGTTGTGTATATCAACTTTTATCCACAAATTAACCTGTTGATTCACAAATACCACAAATATTGAGTAACATTGATTTACTGTCTACATAATTTTTGATGATCAACAAAGCTGTGCTCTGGCAGTGCCTGGTGGCCAGTGGCCAGTGGTGCCTAACTATTGCTCTTGGACGACTAGAAGATCTAACTTTTTCATAGAAAACATGGGCTGGGAACAGGTCATCGACTTATTACAGCCTGTTTGACAATTCAACCTTACATGTTTGTTCACAAACACGTGGAAAATTTTAAATAACTTAGTCTGACCTACCATTCTTGAACTGTTTCCTTTACTACAGCGAATCGCCCACAGTATTAAAAGGATTATAAAGAGAAAAGGTAATCCTTTTGAAGGAAAATAAAATCTTAACAACAGCTCATCATTTTGCAGTGACTAAGCAATTTTAACATTTCTTTGAATACAACTTACGTCTGTCCCGGGAGGAACAGCAAATCGACCCTCGTTCCAAAAGTTTGCTGAAATATCTTTAGCAAGATGATCATCGAATGAAGCCTTCTTTCTTTCTCCAAAAATGTCATTCAAAGAGAGATTTCCATAGCTTCTTGCTACTGCATGCGCCGCCATTTTGACAATCCCGAAATCCTTTGCAAACTAGAGTGTCCATGCGTTACACATTAAAGTTGACTATAGGGGAAGGGTAAGTTGAGGATGACCACAAATTAGGTACATCTATCTGGGTAGTTCGGATAATTCTATTCTACGGAGAACATACATTTGTGAATTAACTGTCTTTCTTTTTTTCGTTTTTCTATTTTTTATTAGATAGTCGGCCGTGACTCACCCCTCACTGCTGAAATATGGAAGGCCACTTATTAAAGACAACATGGACACAGCCGTTTTTAGTGTCGTCACGCGAGGCTCCTTCCCACTTGTGGCGAGGAGCGTTGCGTGACGACACTAAGCAGACTATAAACATGGCGGCCGTGGAAGCTTCACAGACATCTTGGCCTTTCAAGTCCATTTTTATTACAGGCTGCAACCGAGGGATCGGTTTAGAACTAGTTAAGCAAATCCTTAACCTAAGCGCTCCTCCGAACAATATCTTTGCGACTTGTCGATCTCTGGAAAAAGCTTCTGAATTAAAAAAGCTAGAAGCAGCACATACGAATCTTCATCTGATCGAATTTGATGTGACTAATTTCCAAGCCATTGGCCATGTAGTATCACAAGTAGAAAAGAAGCTTGAAGGCCATGGTTTGAATCTTCTAATTAATAATGCTGGTGTCATGGACAGAGCAAATTTAGATGCAGTCACAGCGCGAAGCATGATCGACGTTTACAACACAAATGTGGTTGCTCCTCTGATGTTGACAAAGGGTCTGCTTCCTCTACTTCGCCGCGCGGCTTCTCAAAGTAGCCATCAAAATTCTACAAAGACATTTGTTGCGAATATGTCTTCAGGGGCTGGTTCCATAACAAACAACACCTGGAGTAGTTTGTATCCGTACAGACCAAGCAAAGCAGCACTCAACATGGTCACTAAGTCTCTGAGCATTGACCTTGAAAAGGATGGAATCATGGCCGTTTCCCTGCATCCAGGCTGGGTGCAGACAGACATGGGTGGACCAAATGCTACATTAACTGTGGAGCAATCAGTTCAAGGTCTGTTGTCGGTGATTGCATCATTGGATGAGACCAAAAAGGGTGGATTCCTTGATTTCAGGGGACAGCTCTTACCTTGGTAGAACTTATATATTTTGCTTGAGATGTGCTGTTGTTAGTAATAAAGGAAAAGACCTTTTTTGATTCTCTAATGCATATGTCATGCATGCTACAGTGGAACCTCAACTTTACAAAAGGCCAAGGGACTTGCAAAATTTGTTCGCTATGACGAGATTTCCTTATATCAACGTTCTTTTTCTTATATTACTTTACTATTTATACTGGGGTAAAGAAAATGGTTTGTTATATCAAGGTTCGTTACATGGAGGTTCCACTGTGGTGTTATTATAAGCTTCTCTAAACCATTTCATGCAGCCGTGGTTATCCTAATCTTCTTGGGCTACGTGAAAATTTCGCCTTTTTTTTGTGTACATTGTCACGTGTACTAGTACCATCGGAAAGCATGAGTAGACTCCAGTGCTCTTGATACTTTCATGCAGCAAAAGTAAGCAGTTGGACTGTGACAATCAGTGCTCAATCACAGTTCTTAAACTGGACTCACTTGAATGATTTGAAATGCAACGGTACAGTCCAAGTGTAAAAAAATAATTTTTGGAAAGGAGAACAATGCTACTAATTACCCTGCTTAATTTACAATATTGCACAGTGTGAAAACTTGACCTTACTTGGTGTCACCTTCCAGTCTAACTGTCTATTTGTTAAGCATGTTGTTAAAACTAAACTAAATGAAGCGAACAAAAGTCTTTACATAATAAGAGAACTTAAGAAAGTGGGATAGCCAAGATGAAATCAATCATCTTTTTAAGCCATCGTTCTTCCTAAAATAGTGTCTGGTCTCCCTGTTGATAGCGTATGTTCCTCAATACTTTACAATATCCACGAGCTCTTTGAAAAATGTGATAGGAAAATCTTAAAGAAAATTAGTAGCAACAGTTGTCAACTCTGTACCCTATGTTACCCCAAGACAAAGCATTCTCCCTTAGCTTAAGACGAGGTAATAGTCAGTTACCTAAGATAAAACACTGAACATTTTAATAGTAGTTTTTTTTTAATAGCCTTAGTTTCAGATACAATTATTCTTACCGTAAGGCCTTTATTAATCTCCACAGTTGAAGTTTAATATATCATTAATTTTGATATGTTTATTGTATCTGATGAATAAAGGCATTATTACTATTATCATTATTATTATTATCATTATTAACAACAAAGAGACAAACTTTTAGACTTCATACAAACCCTTCCAAACAAAACTTATATGAAGTTATTTATAAAATTAGAAATGACACCCACAAGGAGATTTTCAATCTTAACTTTTACATATGAATGATCTAAATAGGTATACAAAAATAATTTTACATATCTTTGATTGTTTGTCATAATTTCCTAAGCAGAGCTATGGAGGCCCAAAGCTAACCAAACATTCTATGCATTTACAGTAATTTTGTTAGCCAACATAGATGCTGAAGACTTTTAGACTTGACTAAAACGTTACATTTATTAAAACTTTACTAGTGGCTTCATGAAGGCCTTCGCTTGTAGAAGATGTTGAGTACCTGGACTAGGTAGCTTCAAAACTGCTCAAGCATGGATCATGGTGACCCTGTGAACTCTCTTCGGGATCTCGCCAGTGAATGCGAGGAGTTTCTTTCAACTACCACTGCAAATATATTGCCATCAGTCTGACCATGAGGGCCACTTTTAAAGCCATGATCAGATGATGGGAAAGCCATAAATCAGCCCATGGACCACACAGGAGATGCAACACACATTTTGTGTAAGGGAAGCTGTTTGTTATTGAAATCCTTTCATTTTCGTAGGTTACAGAAACATTAGGTTTTTTCCCCATACAAATCCTTATATTTCGAATGTTACGCAACAATGCCAATGTTCGAGCCTGGGCTACCTGTGGCATAACATCAAGGATTAACATGGCCGCCCTTGGAGCGTCCCTGTCCTCCTGGCCATTCAAGTCCATTTTTATCACGGGCTGCAATCGAGGGATCGGATTGGAACTCGTCAAGCAAATCCTAAACCTCAGCACTCCTCCAAGAAATATTTTTGCAACTTGCCGCTCTCTAGAAAAAGCCTCTGAATTGAAAAATCTTGCAGCGTCGAATTCGAATCTTCAGTTGATTGAATTTGATGTAACTGATTTCCAAGCCATTGGCCATGTAGTATCAGAGGTAGAGAAGAACCTTGAAGGCCAGGGATTGAATCTTGTTATTAACAATGCTGGAGTCATGGATAGTGCAAAGTTAAATGATGTCACAGCGCAAGACATGATCGACGTTTTCAACACAAACGTGGTCGCTCCTCTGATGTTGACAAAGGGTTTGCTTCCTCTTCTTCGCCGTGCGGCTTCTCAAAGCAACGATCAGGGTTCCACCAAGGCCTTAGTTGCAAATATGTCGTCCTCATTGGGTTCCATAGCAAACACCAAAGGAGGATTGTATCCATACAGAACAAGCAAAGCAGCACTTAACATGGTCACTAAGTCACTGAGCATTGACTTTGAAAAGGATGGAATCATGACAGTTTCGTTACATCCAGGCTGGGTGCAGACAGATATGGGCGGGTCAAACGCAGCGGTAACTACCGAGCAGTCAGTTCAAGGTCTGCTGTCAGTGATTGCATCTTTAGATGAGTCCAAAAATGGTGGATTCTTAAGCTTCAGTGGAGAGATCTTACCTTGGTAGAACTCATACAAGTTGCTTTAGGCTTTGCATTATAGTATTCAATATTCAATCAAATGAACTTAGTGATCATCCTTGAGATGTTAGGTCATTAGTTATTAGCATATACCGGTAGCCCTGATTCACAAGCCTGGAGGTGATTGACCTGTGCGCCTATGCTTTGGTGTAAAAAGCATGAAACTACTATATTGAGTATGGAGACACTAAGTTATGTAAACTAGAATTCCTTAAAAAATTGTAAAGCAACTATATTTTACAACAACTCATGACCATTATTCAACTGATAAACTTTACATCAATGGTGAGCTCATTTTACCCCCTCTCTCCATCAATACTCCGTTTTAAGAAAGGAGGGAAGTCGACCTCGTGGACCAAAGGCCATGCACTAACCAACTGTGCCTTTTTTGCTCCTATTTGATATGGCGGCAAATTAACTGCTATCCACTGTAAAGAACCTCAAAGTGTTATGTTACTTATTTAATCTTAAGTATTGACAGTGTTTGCTTTCCATAAAAGAATAAGGTTCCTATTATTTAACCCTTTGCATCCTGAATACCTGCATATTTTCGTTATGTAATATTTGGCTATAAATACAGTGAAACCCGTATTAAGCGGACACCGTATTAAGCGGACACCCTCTATTAAGCAGACAGTAGCGAAGTCCCCAAATTTATTTCCCTTATTTACTGTAAATGAAACCTTTATTAAGTGGACACCTCTATTAAGCTGATGCAGACACCTAAAAAGTACCTGAAATGATCCTGTATTAAATGGACACTTTAACGGACAATTTAATTATTAAGTTCCACCACCCAACACGCCAGACACTGCAAATGGGAAAGATTGCCTCAAATTGCCACCCACAATTTTTTTGATTTTTACATTAAAAAAGTGACTTGACGAACTTATTTGATTAGTTTCACAGTACGGGATTGTTTTCTATTTCGTTTTGTTTGTATAGCACTTGTTTCACTCTCTGATTTCTTCAAATTTGAGTTGCAAGCCATGGTTATGGTACTATGATCCATTGGTTCACTTTAATGAAAATAGTGCAAAAGCCTATTGTCATAGTCTCTGGGAGTATTACAAACACTTCCTCGGTTCATTTGAATGGCATTTGACACCTCATATGATGTTATATATCGAAACCTGTATCAAGAGGACACTAAAGCATTCCCTGAGGGTGTACACTTTTGTAATACAGGTTTCACTGTAGTCAGAAACGATAGATTTTTCCATATAAGGAGTCACCATGGAAATACTGCGTCACATTTGCGTCATATGTTTGTCAAATGCAAGGAATGTCACGCAAGTCGATAACCTGCAAACCTGTAGATGTATTTCCGGTCGCCGCCTAAAGCCAAAAAACCGGATGCTCTCGCAGGCTAGCAAGTCAACAGTGGGGGTTCATTTAGCAAATTCATGGACTTGACTGTTACAAGTTCATGGCGTTATAAGTGTTTTTTGGAGCCACTTTCCTCAGTGGCAGCCAAGTTGGTATAGGCTGGTGACACTATCTAATTGATACTGATAACAATGATGATATTGCTTACAAGAACATTAGTGGGCATGATCCATTCAACCAAAATTTCCGGAAATTTCGGTCCAAAACTCAATGGATCGGTTTGGTCCAACCAGAAAAGTTTCCAAAAAAGGGTCCACCTTTTGAGGTGGACCACTTTTCCCGGTCGGACCGGTTGGAATTTTGGTTGAATGGATCGCGCCCAGTGTTTCCCCAAATGGGATTTCATGTAAATTCTTGACGCTTGGGTGACCTGTGCCCATACTTACGGCTTACATGAAGGGCGATTCATTTTGGGAAAATGGCTGAATCCGGCAATTTCAGCGATCAAGAGAAGGCTTTAGAATACGTGAAATCGCTTATTAGACCTTTTCCAGACTTCCCTCAACCTGGAATTTTGTTTAGGTGAGATTTTTCTCTACAAATAGGTCTAGTTTAATAGCATGATCTTG